TGTGATTATCATACGAAGTTCGATTCCCAACGGTGGACACAGTAGATAGCTTAATGTGGCTTTGCTTAACAAAAACAACAACTTATTACAAGCAACAAACAGGCAGCTGTGCTTATCATTCAGGATTCAATGACCCCCGGTGGACACACAAACAAAAACAACTTATTATATGCACTGAACAGACTGCTGTGATTATCATCTGCTTTAATTTCGTTCAAACAATGCTGTTTCGTTTAATGGTCAAATCGATATTTCCTTTAAAGATTCATGTTGAAAGATACGATGCTATTTTTTGGCAAATAATGGCTTAATAGGGGTTTAATATCATTCCTTTTTTTTTCCTTTGTCGATACAGCGCTGTTTATTGTTTGCATCATCATATATATTCTGTAACTAGATGATGCAAAAAATAGCATACAGAACCTTAGCGGTAATGGTAATACTATATATTTATCATGGGTAACGTCACATCGTCAGCACCTTGAGATAGCATACATTCACACAGATATATAGTCATTATTTTCTTATGTGAATAACTTTGTGCTTACGCTTACTCGCAATGCTTAGGTGTAGTAAATCATGAAACTCGATTTATGACTTAGCTTTATAATTAGATTACCTTAGTACATGTAGAGTTTACATACGCTCGATATTATTATTAGAGCATTTCATGATAGAAACGTAAGGAAATCTATGATAAAAGTCACCATTTTTTATAGGATATTTCAATCTATCTTGTAGACATGTTCCTAAATTAATATATATATATATAATATTGTTATAGTTCAATTCCACCGAACCAAATATATTCGACTGACAGATAGAAATGTTAAAGAATTTAGTAATACTGAGAAATGAATTTTATTCTGACCGTAAGTGGCACAATGTTTTATTTGATCCAGTATAAAAGTAGTTTAAGTAGTTCGACAAGTGAAGCAATACGTTAACATTCTACTTAAAGAACTGAGTGTCACAGTTCATAAGTAGCTTGATGTAAAAATGTCCTATTTATAGAATTAAGTGACACAATTCATAAAGATTTTATTTAATGAACTAAGTAACGTGATGTAAAAATGTCCTATTTATAGAATTAAGTGACACAATTCATAAGGATTTTATTTATTGAACTAAGTAACGTGATGTAAAAATGTCCTATTTATAGAATTAAGTGACACAATTCATAAATATTTTATTTAATGAACTAAGTAACGTGATGTAAAAATGTCCTATTTATAGAATTAAGTGACACAATTCATAAAGATTTTATTTAATGAACTAAGTAACGTGATGTAAAAATGTCCTATTTATAGAATTAAGTGACACAATTCATAAATATTTTATTTAATGAACTATGTAACGTGATGTAAAAATGTCCTATTTATAGAACTAAGTGACACAGTTCATAAAGATTTTATTTAATGAACTAAGTAACGTGATGTAAAAATGTCCTATTTATAGAACTAAGTGACACAGTTCATAAATATCTTAACTGTTAGTTTCATTTAGGTCCCTGGGTGTCGCAGTTTATGAAAGTTATATTAAAAGAATCAATCAGAGCAATACATGGGTATTCTATTCATATAGTTAAATAACACAGGACTTAAACATTTTATTTAGGCGCTAATAAATCAACACATAAAGGTTATATTTAAGACGCTGAGTAAACCGGATGATATGAAAAGAATAAGACGTGTATGTGTGAAGAGTTATCTTATGTCTGACACAAATCACAACATTATTTTCACACACACCTGAAACAAACTAACAACTAATGCGAAGATAAGACATCTGCAGTCAAAGTTGATTTTAATCATTTTTGTTAAGTTTAAACGTATCAACGCTTTCTTAGCTCCAAAGATTTACGTCGCGTTGTATATGAGTATCATTTCACATAATCATCGATCTGGGTATGTGGTGTATTCTGATGTAAAGGCCTTATGAGCAGTGATTTAGTTGTGATATTGAAAAGCATGCAAGATCGACAGGAAAAGTTAGAATGAAAAGAGAATCCTGATAACCCAAGCGCTTTCGTAAAGTGTCCATTTACTCCTGCTGAGGATAGTCTACTTTACAAAAAGATCAGGTTTCTTTTTTTTACGGACAGTGGTATGTTGTAGACAAACAGTAGACCTGAAACACTATTTTAACACTTTTGATTTTTACTTACATGGTTCAGTGACGCAACACATAGAGCTACAATGGACAAATTACAAATATTTAAGATTTTTAATAAGTAAAGATTCGACTGAAAACGATAAGTAACACAATATATAGTGCTAGCAACAAGTTATCTTGGGTATTCACTTTCAGCTTTGCCAGTTGACAGACGTGTATAAAACATACGAAAACCAACTTTAAGCTATGCCAATTGACACACGTGTATAAAAACATACGAAAAACAACTTTAAGCTATGCCAATTGACAGACGTGTATAAAAACATACGAAACAACTTTCAGCTTTGCCAGTTGACACACGTGTATAAAAACATACAAAAACAACTTTCAGCTTTGCCAGTTGACACACGTGTATAAAAACATACAAAAACAACTTTCAGCTTTGCCAATTGACACACGTGTATAAAAACATATGAAAAACAAATTTATGAAAAAATCAAGGTCCTGACGCTGCAAAAATAATAAGTTGTATTTCAATGTGTGTCACATGAAATGTTTAATGTGCCCGCTATCGTTTTTAAGAACATAACAGGTGAGGTATAACCTGATAGAGAAAGTGTATTTTTAGTGACGTGTAACACGTAATATTGAATCTAATTTTCTACTCGAGTATTTAATTTGAACAGTTGTAACAATCTTACTAATCAGTAGGCGAATAAGTGGGCTCTAATCTAAGCGTTTAGGCTTACAATTCCTAAAGATGACATGTCATGAGCCATTATAATTTCAAGATCATCTAACAGCATAACTTATGATCTTTTTATCATCGCAAACGTGCTCAGCATATGCTTGTATACTACTACACCAGCTAATGAAGATGTAGACTTCATTATTCTTCCACTACCTATACGTGTATATCCAATCTTATTTCATGCCAGCTCTGCATATCAAAATGCTATTTAGAATGCTGAGGCAAAGAAAACATAAATATTATATATAAAGTGCTTAGTATCCTCGATGTTTAATGTAAAATTCCAATGCATTATATCATTGGTGTTTGACATAAATTTTCTGGAGATCCATCATGTAGTGTGATTTTACTCTAAAATAACGAGTTATGCAGTAGGTTTTTTATAACAAGTCTAAGTGTTCCAACACGTCAAGAAATAATGGCAATAACAATTAACTTACATTTGAACTGTTCTAAATTTTAGATTGTATATACAGGGGTTTCATTTACTCTTATCGAATGTTTCTCAAGTAATATAATACCGGTATATCTAGGACTAAGTCATACACAAGAACTCTTACCTAGTTATCTTAATTCAATAAATGGTTTTCTTATTGTAGTCTATAAATACAAGTTCCCAACTTTCTTATAATTGAGTCATTATAACCTAGGTCACAGGTTCTGCGAGGTTAAGTGTGTTAGTAGATAACTAGCAGAGATCCGCAAAAAATATGCTGTCAAATTAGTATCTTTATTGCAATAATACATCTTTAAATACAGGATTTCTAGAATAATACAAAGCGTACTAATAGCATACACCTAAATCTATCAGTCCACTTGTCTTAAGCCTAACATTAATTAAACCTTTATTAAGTAGGGCCTGTATTAGATAAAAAAATAAATTAACATTGTAAGTTGTGTACGTTTTATGGCTTTAGTTTAGCTAGGGATAAACTTTACTGTACTTAATACCATCAATAAATAAACTTATAATGTTATTCTACGACCTAATGTTAAACCTTTTTATAGACTTTGATAAGCTTTTAATATATTGTTGTACAAAATGTCTACTTATGTATATTTACATCCACATTTTGTTTACGCCAGTTGAAATTAATTGTGCGCGCATGCGCATTTAGACAGTAAGGTGCGCGCACATTTTCAGGACAGACAAATACTGAATATCATTATAACTAACACAAAAACAAATAATGAAAGTTTCTCGCTCACATTATAAATATGTTTAAAATTTAACTGTCGATAAAAATATTTATTTTCAAACAGTACTTTCATTCGGTTTGTAATCCTTTTCAACTTTCGCTTTAACTAAATATGGCAAAATAAGAGTGGTAGGAGTATTAAGAAAAACACCCATTATCAATGCAAATGATATAGATTGTTTAAAAATACCATTTAACTCTTTATATTTCAGCATGGAATCACAAAAGCGAAAATAACTTTGTATTTTATAAATTTGTGTGTTGAAATTCATTCTAAAGTAATTGTTAAACGAGGCAGAGTGAGCTTCTGGCTGGTTGCTGTTTTTTTCTGATTCTTATGTACCATATAAGATACCTTCAGACTAAAAATAACATTACAAACAATTTCTAAAGAGTCAAGGAACTCTTCTGTGCATAAAACATCTAAGACTAAGTTTGAATGTGAATCAACCTGCATTATTATTCCTTCTGAGCCACCTTTCTCCCCAGTGGCTCAGCGGTAAGTCTGACTGCTTATAACGCGAAAATCCGGGTTTCGATACTCGTGGCGAACACAGCACCGATAGCCCATTGCGCTTAACAACAAACGAATAATCACCATTCTAAGTTGAGTTTTGACAGTAAGACTTTCTTTAGAACAAAATCTATTTGGAAATGAATTGCGTAAATATAAGTGTAAAACATTTTTGTACGGCATAAACATATATTTTCGAATTTGCATACATTTTAACGTAAGGTCTTTCATTGAGGAAAATATTTTCATTGAGCCATTGAGTTTATATCTTTGTGGACCTAATATTTTCCCTACTGCAGTTTTCAGAAACATAATAATTTACAAAACAGTCATTTAGAAGAAAAAAGTAAGTTGTCTAAAGTATTTACTTTCTTTTACGTTTTGTCTTTACAAGTTATTTAGTTTTCTTTATATATTACAGTACATCTCAGATGATTGAAGCTTCCTCAATAAGACTAGTCCTGGTAGAATAGGAGGTAGCCCAAGGGGCACATGAATGAGGTATAAATCGGGTATGTCTTCATCGATCACAGAGAGGACCCGTTGTCAGTGCTACCTCACAAGGGAATAGAAAGCCATCTGTTTCTGTCTGATTACGACATAGCTCTTCATCGTCTACCAGACCAATTAGAGGTTCCAGTTCGTGATTTGCTTCAATTGTAAATCAAAAAAAAATATGCCTCGCGAGTCACCAATGTTTTCCAAGTTGAAGCCCACAGGAACATCACCAGTGGAAATGAATCCAATTACCCAGTACTATGACATAGGGAAGCATGTAGGAAGCGCTGGACCGGAGCTTGTCTGGAAGATATGTGATGCTATTCGGAAGTCTGACAGAAGGGTGAGTGTAAAATGAACATGTTATAAATCTATAACTGAAATATTTTATGTTTTGCTGTTTATAGAATACCGAAACACTGAGACGTTTAAAAAACATAAAAATGTTGATATTGGAGGCATTTCACACAGTTATTCCATATAATTGAAGTCCTATATATTACGCTTAGTTAATTGTACAAATACTGAAGATAATATTCGATAAGGAAATGAATACGATTGAACCTTTCAAAACCTTAAAGTTATTAACAGAAAGAGACCAATAATGATATCACCAAACAAGGTCTTCGAAAAAATGGTCTCTTCACTTTGTCAAGTTATTTATTAGTATTTCAATACCAGTCCTTTTCAGGAATATTATATTTGTGTCTTTTTTCACAATTTATTATCAATTGAAAACAAATGAATGATTTGGCTTTAATTTTACAAGCCATGTTTATGAACAATAACACAAGTTTTGGGCATACTTAGATACCTTTGGCTTTTTCTTCAGGAGTAAGAAATGTATAGAACAATTTGTATACAAACAATATTATTTAATAACAATCCGTATCAAATTATTCAACTTGAACTATTTGAATTTTTCAGCTTAACCTAAAGAAAGTAAATAAACTAAAGAGAAATTAATTGTAGAAAAAAATTGGTTTGAAATGTTTCAGTTAACATATCTCTAGTTCAGTCGAATGCATATTCAGAAAATACAAGAAATGGATTTTTTCGAGGAAGAAATCATAATTTACCTCAGAATTATAAAAATGTTCATGCAATCACAAATTGCATATCCTGAAGATTAATATCAATTTATAAGAGTAATGTTCCCATGGAACAGCTTCCTCCATCTTCGATACTACTCACTCAGATGGCAATGATTATTCACTTCTGACTCTAACCACAATTTTCATTGCAATAATATTATGTAAAGGATGACGATGTAACTCTTAGTTCAGACATTTTACAAACTTTCCACGATCCCTCCGCTGTGTGTCGATGTCAGTTTCTAATTCACATATTTAGCAAATCAAGGAGCAAAGATTATAGGCATCTGGTAGAATGGGATTGCTGTAACTTTAGTTTCTTTGGTTATCTTTCTCATGAAAACAGCTATTAATTTCGAGTTGTGTCTGAAAGGCTTTAAAGTTTTGGCTTATGAGCCTATATCAACTAAATATCTTTATTTATGATCCTGTTGATGGTACCAGTAGATATTCATAACTTCATAGTATTGACTTGTGAGGGATCGAAGGGCTCTCTTTCGTCACTATAACTTTTACTTCGCACGTCAGTGGTTTAAATCGTGAAGACTTTAAACGTTCCCCCGAAGTCTCCGTCACACCAACGTACTTCCTCTTTAACATAAAGCTGTTTGACCAGATTTACGTAAATATAGCTGAACAACTGTCCCGCATAGTTCAGACCTGTCTTCTATAAGCGATATGTAGATGATACCTTTGTACTTTTTCATTTTAAAGACCATACGTCAAGTTCTTTATATTACCTTTTGCCACCTTACCATTAAATTTGTCTGTGAATTGGGACAAAAACAGACTATATATTTTATTAGACGTCCTTTTAACACATTATTCTAACCATTTCTCAAACCCAGTCTTCCACCAACAAAAAAAAAAGAAAGAAAGGAAAAATTTCTGGTCTTCTCAAACCTTTTAATATAGCTGCCAAACTAGCTATATTGGCAAAACAACTGGCCACTTAAAAGTAAGAATCCATGAACATAAAGGTGTTTCTGTTAAATCCTGAAATAATATCTCAAATCCCTGTTTCTCTGCTATTCACACACATTGTAATGAAACTAATCACCATTTTTCAGAATATTCTGACAACTGGTCGCTCTAAACTGGAACTATTAACCAAGAAAATTATTTTATTTGACAACACACTCAGTTAAATAGTACAAAAGGTCTTTCCCGTTAAATCTGTTCTAACTGTTATTTTATCCTGTTTTATTATTGCATCATTGTATATTCTATTTTTTAACTTTTCTTTATAATACCATTACCAGTTCTCAGTTACTTATTTTATTTTACTGTATGCTAATGATGGGTTTCGTATATTCTGAAACGTCCATTGGCGTGGTGGTTCTTTTTATAATCAACTTGAGATTTCTGCCTGATGAATCAATTTTCAATCTTTCTTCATATACTGGCACTATATCACCTATTTATCACAAACTATAAAACATTCCTAACTTTTCTCGTACTTTCATATGATCCATTAAAATAACTGTAAGGAAATCAAAATGCTCGTTTAAATATAGCTTCAATTGTAACTCGAGTGGGCGGTCTGGTTGGTTCGTGTAATACACGCGTGAAATACCGGATCCTAAAAATAGCTAATTTATCATTCAGATGTATAGGATTCAATACACTTACTTCAAAAAGTAAATATCAGGTGTTGCTATTTATTCAATAAACCTTTCTCCTAACAAACTGTATAAAAATATCTATCAGAGTTTGACAAGTTTCTGATATCTTTAATGTTTGCCACTTATTACTATCGCTAATTTGATTAAGAAATAATATATATTTTTCTTTTTTTAATAATAAAAAAGATTGAAAACGTTTTCGAGCCGTTTACATCATTTCTCTTTCCTCACATTCCACTTTCTTTGAATCCATATCAGAGAATTATTTTAACTACAAATATTGTTATTCCGAGATTCGACTGTGTATAGTCCAAATTATTTCCTATGCGTGATTTTCAAGCACGAGACCATAAACCAAGAGACTTGTTTTCATTGAACTTGGATTCAGAAAATCCTTCATATTTGTTCATTGTGTATTCAATAACATTAAATTCTGTCTTCTGTTTATTGTAAATACATATACCATCAGTTTAAGAAGATAAGATAAAAACCCTTTGATGATTACCCAAATTTGATATTAGTCCTAAAAAACTATGTTATTTCTTAAGTTAAATCAAAAATCCTATAGATAATGTAAATAAAAGTATTCACTGTCACTCCTTGTCAAACACTCCTCTTAAAAAGAATATCTGAAGTTGAAACCGACCAATGAAATATGACATTTTTATACCTCTCGTCAACCGCTCTTATAAATTTCCCACCCAAACCAGATTTTATGTGTACCTGTCCTAAATAGTCGAATACTTTACCGAGATTTAAACTTACAATAGTTAAGTATTCGTTATCTTGGTTTGTGAGAATTATTATATCACACATAACATGTTACCATAAACACATTGATGTGGAACAAAGTAAGTCTGGCTCTCATGAATCAATTGACTCATATAGGTTTCGGTACAAATAAGTGATACTGGTCACCAGTTTCTTAAATCTGTCAACTCTTCCTTTTTATATATTAAGTTTGTTACTGCTTTTTCATAATTCTACGACATCCACCCGTCTCCAGAGATTCATTAAAAACCTCGAACACAGAATTACTAATCTTAGGCTACAATATTACTAATTATTCAATTAGCAAGCAGCAGTTCTTTCTGTAAGTGTTAATGCAACACCTACAGACTATTCCACGATTTTTTGGTAAAATGAGTAAGCCTTCAAAAAAAGAGCCGTTGTTTAGATTTAACATTCCTTTAAAATACAATCTTTTATCAAAATCAATAGCCATAGAATTTATATCATATGAATTCTGAGTTATATTTCCGTGGTCTCTTCAAAACTATAAACACACATTTTCATATATGTCGTGTGTATCCTAATCTGAAAACATAAAATGTCAATTTCTCTAATTCTTTTAACCCGTTGCTGAATTCCCTAGTGTTTAGCTCGATTCCGACGATTAGATACGTGTTATCGGTAAGATAGAACTGGGATTTCAGAACTTCTTCATAGATTAGATACGTGTTATCAGTAAGATAGAACTGGGATAACTTTATTTATAATTACTTAGTTTTCCATTTCTTTCTTAATTCATTTTCCTTTAAAATGTTAAGTATGGGCTTTAATCACTCTTTTAAAACGATCCCACCATGATTGTATGTTGTGTTTGAAAACATGTTATAATATGGTGAATTTCATTTACATATCTGGCATTTTATTAATTACGACTTAAACTTCCTCACAGCGTGCAGCTACTGCTGCATGGTTAGAAATGAATGCATTTACACGAAAGAATCCGAAAACTTTCATCAACGTGATAAAATTAATAACTTATCCAGTCTTGTCTTTAATACAACATCTCTTCTTTGGCCAGTCCATATATATTCCTTCTTTTTCTTATAAGGACATCAAGTAAAATAAACTGATTTCACAAAACATTCAGTTTATCACCTATATAAGATATATGTTCTCTCGAAGATATACAATCTAATTCTCTGTACAATGTTCCATTAGAATCTCCAGTTAAGATATACAATCTAATTATCTGTACAATGTTCCATTAGAATCTCCAGTTAAGATATACAATCTAATTATCTGTACAATGTTCCATTAGAATCTCCACTTAAGTACACCAACTCATTATTTAGTATTTCACTTACATTCCTTTTCGATACAATCTATCAATAGATATTCGTATGTTACACTGCGGTAAGTACATGCTGAATAAATATAAATCTACCTCTTTTGATTTTTACCAATATATATATAAACTATCACCAATGTGTTCAGTGATGAATATCATTTCATTCCCAAGTAAACCTATCAATACACCGAATCCGTACTACCATGATCTATAAGAATGAAATTTCTACACGAAAATTAGTTTCTTGTCATACAGTAATATAGGAAAATATACTTTTGAAACTATTAATATAAACAATTTGTAAATTTTTCACTTAAACTTTTAGTTACAATTATAATATTTTCCTTCTGTTTACACTTTTTTTTATTCTCTCGATTTCTCTAATTGCTGTATTGAAATATTTTCCTTGTGTTTCTAACTTTTCAGACGATCATCTAGCTTTCTTTTATAATTTACAAATCTTGATTTTCATATTAGAACTCGAAAGATTTCATCATCTTCTCTATCTCGAGAGATTTTAAGTCATTATTTCCATATTCACTAC